GCCCGAGACTCAGCTGGGAAGGAAGGACTTGCAACTCTCCAAGGACACCTAGCTTTGAACTTGCTGTTTCACCAGCTTAAAGCATTTCTGCCGTATCACACACCCCGGCTTGGCAAACGCCCGGCCGGTCTTCTAGACCCCCCAGGACGGGGTGGGTTACGAGGACCATCGTGCACCTTGTAACCCCTGGGCTTACGCAGTGTAGCTGCCCGTTGCTTTATCCTTCTCTGCCTCTGGGGGCAGGAACTGTGCTCACCCCACACCCTCCATTCCCGTGCGTAGCAGACATTCAACTAAGTTGTTGAACAGCCAGGAGAACTGTGGGATCCAGAACCCAGCAGCTCTTGGCCCTGGCTCCGCCACTTCCTGGCTGTGTGACCTCGGGCAGGTTGCTAACCTTCTCTGTGCCTGGCTGCTCACCCATACACTGGAAGTGAACACACCTGACTCACAGAATCAATGCAGCGATTGCTGAGATAGGGCCCTGAAGGCACTCGGCACACAGTCAGTTCTCAGCGACGTATGTTTACGCCCCTGCCTGGCACACAGTAGGTGCTCAGTAAACGTAAAGGCGCTGCACACACTCCAAGGGGCCGCCCGTCCGGCTGGCTCTCTGGTCTCTCCTGGAAACACGAGCTCTGTGACAGGCCCCGACACCCGGCCAGTGCCACTCGCTGCCAGGCCAGGCCGAGAAGCTGCCCCTTGGCCGGCAGAGGCGGGCGGGGTGGCTCTCCCCAAGCCCCACGTTGCTCTGGGCTCCCAGGTAGACTGGGGGCTCGTCACAGTGACTCACGTGTCCCTTCTCGTCAGACACCACCTCCTGGTCCTTCTCTGTGTTAACACTGCTCCGAATTCCTGCCTTTCCCATTTCAATTCTCTCCTGTTGGATGGCTCTGCCTTTGCCCTTAATAAATCTCATTTTATTTTTCTAATTTACTCAGACAAAGCTGGATGGTTTTCATGTTATCTAAATTATTAGCCATTCTGTCCATTTAATGGTATCTGCAAATGTTCACCCACGGATTTGCCAGCCTGGCCTCCAGGTCAGAAGTCCACGTGCTTCGGGGAGACAGCCCCCAGCCAGGGTCCCCAGGAGCCGGACCCAGCGCCAGCCTCCAGACTGCCCGTTTGTCCAAGGTGCGTCTCGCAGGAGCAAGCAAAACGCGGGGACGAGACCCCAGCGTGTGATTGGCTTCTGGCCTCGCCAGATTAGAAGGGAAGGGGCCGTGGGGTGTGGGGTCTGAGATGAGTGAGTGGGGAGAGGACAAGGGGGCACCCCCCAAAGAAGCCATGTAACCCCAGAGGGCCGGGTCCCGTGGGGCAGTGGGGGGAGAGGAAGAGGTGGCCATGCGGGGGCCCCTCAAAGGTGATGCTAAAACCACAGACAGAGGAGCCAGGTAGCAAACCCCGGCACTAAAAGGAATCAAGGGGATGAGTGTCTTTGTTGGCCAGCGGGAGCCAAGCGCGGGACCCGGTCCCGGGAGCCCCTGTCTGCCCGGGCCTGGCAGGCTGCTCGGGGACGCAGAGCTTCCGGTGCTTAAAAGGAATGTACTGGTTTTAAACAGCTACCATCTACGGATGCTCCAGCACGTGCCAGGCACTGTTTTAAATGTTTCATAGAAAACAGAGAACCCCCTCAACACCCCGGTGAAGGCAGGCACGGTTGTTTTCCGACAGCTTTGTTGAGATGCAAGTCTCTCGCTCGGAGTGCGCCGTTCGATGGCTCCTGGTACCCGCAGCGAGGTGTGCCCCCGCCACCAGCAGTCAGCCCGAGAACACTTCCATTACCCCAAAGCGGAGCCCTGCGCTCCTCAGCCGTCCCCCGGCCCCCACCCCTCCCGGGCCCGGAGACCGCCGGTCTGCTGTCCCGGTGGCCTTGCCTGCTCGGGGCGTTTCACAGCAGTGGAGTCACAGCCTCCGGGGCCTGTGTGCCGGCTTCTTCCACTGAGCGGCCTGCTCTCAGGAGCCATCATGCACAAGCACACGTCTGAACCTCAGTCCTGGTTTGTTTTCTTTTAATTTCTGCTGAAGACTGTTCGAACGTGAATGTTGTCATCTGTTCGCCCGCCGATGGCGTTGGGGTTCTTCCCACCCGTCGGCTACTGTGAATGCGCTGCGACGACCGTCCTGAGCAGGCGTTCCTGGGAACGCAGGCTTCCCTCGCTCGTGGGTCGGAACCAGGGAGCGGGATTGCCGGGTCAATGGTAGTTCCGTGTTTGGCCGTTTGAACTGGAATCTATTTTGAAGATGAAAGACAGGAAACGAGAGTGGCGCCTGAGGGCACGTGCCTGGGCAGCCCCGGGAGACGGGGCCTCCTTTTAGTCCCTTCATTTCTGTGCCCCTGGCACCGGGCGGCGGGGGGGGGGGGGCCTTCCATGAATGAGCGAGTGAATAAAGGGTGTGAAGCAAGGCACCTGGGGGAAGAGGGAACGGAAGAGACAGCGGACGAGTCTGGGTTCACAGTCACGAAGTGAGCTCTGCTCCACCCTGACCAGGTGGGCGGCCTGCGCCCGGGCTGGCGGCCCCGCCAAGCGACAAGCGGCGCTCGGCTCCCACAGCCCCTGAACACCCGTTTCCTCTCGCTACCTGGGGGCTTCGGCTCGCTCGGGGAAATCGGCGCTCAGGCCTCACCTTTGCCACGAAGTCCCCCCTCCCAGCCTCTCGCTGTGACAAGGTCTCCCCAAAGTGTCACTTCCACCCCCACGGTCTGAGGCTGTAATGGCCGCTAAACAGAACACAGAGAGGGAGAACCCCGCTGAGGGGGCCTCTGGCCCACACGGCACACAGAGCCTGAGGAGCCCAGGGTCTTCCTGGGGGTGGAAGTCAGAGCCGGGCTCAGTGCCCACCTGCGGCCGGCTCCCCGCTCCCGGCTCCCCGCTCCTGGGGCGGGAAGCTCCCCGCGCTCCAGGCTGTGTCTCTTGCGTCCTGAGCCGAAGAACTGAGCTCACAGGCGTCACAAGCCCAGCTCCTTAACGATCTCCACAGGCAGGCGGCTTGGTGGGCTCCTGCGCCCCCCTGCAGGCTGCGAGCCCCTGACCCCGCGTCCCGCATCCAGGTGTGGGGAACCCTGCGCGTCCGCGTAGCACATAGACTTCCCCACAAACGCTGCTCCCAGGGCCACCTTCCCCGTCAAGGGTGGGGGTCCTCCGTGTCCCCTCCTCGACCCTGGATGGGCCTCTGCGAGCACCTTGGTCAGAGCACAGCTGAAAGGTGCTCGAACAGTCGCTTGGGCGGCTGCGACAGATACCCCAGGCCGGCGGCTTAAACAACACTCGTTTCCTCCCGGGTCCGGAGGCCAGAGGTCAGGGGGCCGGCGGGCTGGTCCCCCCGAGGCCTCCCTCCTTGGGGTGCAGGCGGCCGTCTTTTCCTGCGGCCTCACGGGCCCCTCCCTCCGTGTGTGCCTGTGTCCTAGTCCCCTCTTATCGGGACACTTGTCAGACTGGATTAGGACCCACACACGTGACCTCGTTTTGCCTTGATCATCTCTTTAAAGAGCCGGGCTCCACCACAGTCCCGTGCTGAGGCATTAGGGATAGAGCTCAGCTACAAATTTGGAGGGGACACAGATCAGCTCATAACAGACGCCTGGAGTCATGAAAGGTCACGAGGCCCTTGTTCTGTAGAGCAGAGAACGGGGGCTCCAAGAGGGCCGGCCGCCTGCTCACGCCAGCGAAGGGCCCCGGCGAGACCGAACCCGTGCTGGTCTTAGCCAGTCCCGGCCAAGCGCTGAGTCACGCCGCTTCAGCCCAGGCAGTCACCCCCTGACTCGAGGCCTTTCCGGGCCCCACACCTGGGCAGGTACAGGGCCAGCAGCCAGTAAGCATCCCCAAGGAGTGGCTGGAGCCAATTACAAAAAGCACAAATGACGCAGCCACAAGGAGCCCGAGGCAATGGGCTGTCGGCCCCTCACAGCTGCTGACCGGCCTCACCCCGGACACAGGGAGAGTGGGACCTTGAGAGGCTGGGGGCCTTCAGGTTGGCTTGGATTTTTCCACGAGGTTGAGGTGGGTCCCAGGGACAACGGAGAATCCTGGCACCAGGAAGGGCTCAGGTCGGGGTTGGAGCCGGGTCTCAGGGCCAGACGCCAGCACCCTTCTTCCTCCCCTCCCCGTGGGACCCTCTGGGTCCATGTGGCTGGGAGTGCAGGTGGCACACGTGGGCTCCAGGTGTGTGCCCACCCCACCTCTCTCTGCATTTACATCACCTTTCACTCCTCTCCCCCATGCCTCCCCAACCCGGACAACAGATTTCTTTGCAAACGGACAACAGATTTCCCGACCCCATGGGAATAAAGCTGCCCCACAGCCAGCTGCGGACACTGACCGCCCACCCCAACTCCCAATCCGATTGGGCTAGCTTAAGTCAGGTGACCAGCGTGGTCCAATCATCAGGGCCCAGGGTGGGCACGGGGCAGGGCCGCAGGAAGACAGGTCAGCTGGGCCACCACGAGCTGCTGGATTCACCCTAAAACCAGCAGCCCCCGTCAGTGTCAGGTCCGTCTCTGCACTGGACTCACCTCTCCCGTGGCTGCCTCTCCTGCCCGACCCCCCTCAGGGATCGACAAGGGCCTGGCACGCGCGGCTCCTCCCCGATACGGACCAGATGGGCAAGCCGTGCACCTCCGCTCACGCTGAGTGTGCGGTGCGGCTGTCTGGCTGGAGGGGCAGTGTCCAGGGAACCCTGGCCTGAACCCAAAGCAGGGAAGTGATAGGCACCTTGGCCCGTCAGAAAAAGGAAGGTTGGGTTTGGTTCTGAGTGGCTCACATTAGGGACACTGGCAGATCAGAACGCCCCCAGGAACAGGATCCTCGGACACGGACACCGGCCTAGGACACGTGGTTACGGAGTCGGAGGTGGTCAGCGAAGAGGCAGACGAGCTCGCCACCTTCAGACACGGACAGGGCAGGAGGAGGGGGAGGAGGGGGAGGAGGGGGGATCCGGGCATCGTCAGGGGTCAGAACAACGTCACCAGCGCTGGAGAGACCATCTCACAGCCGGACCTGCCGGGTGCAGGACTCGCCTGCTCCTGGGGGCAGTGAGCGCTCCAGCACAGGGTATTCAAACAGAAACAGGGCAGCGGGGGCCAGGGACGCCGCACAAGGTGAGCAGCCGGCCCCCACGCTCCCGCAGCCCCTCCAGGCTGGCTGCCGCCGCGCCGGCCGGCTCTCGGGAGAGCACGCCTCTTTCTCTCTCAAACCGAATCCTCCCTTCTCATCATTTCTGTCGTGTCGAGTCCTCCAGTAACAGCTGTTGAGAAATCACATTTGTACCTTCTCAGGCGCTCTCTTGAACTTGGAGTGCAAATTAACTTCATGTGATCTGAAATAGAAAAGGTCGCCTCTCCCGCAAATTAAAAGCTGGGCGACGCTTGCCAAGTCCGTGAGCGTATCAGGTTCTGTGGGGACGTCTGCGGGAAGGGCCGGGCGTCCACCCCACTGCCACACTCACGAGGACGGCTCCGCACCGTCCTCTCTCAAGGCCGTCTGCCCGGGTCACGGCGTCCTCCCCGGCTGCGGCCTCTTCACCCCGGTAGCCCTTCCTGCAGATGGGCTGGCCTCTCGGGGGCTCCTGAGTGTCCTGAACTCCCCCCAGGGCACGCGGAGCCAGGACCCTGTCCGGCCCATCTTCGCAGCTTCTTCCCACAGGCCCTCCATCCCGTGTCGTGTTGGAGGTGGGCAGGGCATGGCAGAGGGGACCTTCAGTCTCCCCACGCTGCACCAGGGCAGAGCCCCCTTCCCATGTTCTCGTGTGTCCCCACACCCAGACGGATGCTTCTAAAGCCCCTCGGACACCAGAGGTCCTGGCTACCCTCCCGGCCCCCTCCCCACTCCCTGCCTTCCCCCATCACCAGGGCTGAACTGCCCTTGACTGCACCACTTCCAGAGTTCTCCCACCTCGACACACACAACAGCAAGACTCAAGGACATCGCTGGCCCTTGAAATGCTAAACAGGGGTCAAGGGACCAGAGAAAATGTTCTCACTCCCAGACCCTGGCTGTCCGGACTTCCCCTTGGTGAGCGGGCCCTGTGGCCCTGCGCAGACCACTCACCCACCTGTTCTGGGCGGGGTCCTCCCTCCTTCCGCACCCGGGGCCTCGGGGCTCGGGGCTCAGCCCTGGAGATGGAAGGCGTCAAGGGCACGTAGAAAGCATGACTGTTATGCTAGTGTCAGACGGCTGTGCCTGTGCACGTGAGTGGGACTGCGGGGATGCTCAGCGTGTCGGGAACGCCAGGGGTGAGCGCTGGGCCTGTGACCGTGGGGTTAGGCACCCGGGCTCAGAGGTGCGAGAGGTCAGCCTCTGGGGGGCTTGGCTCTGTTGTCCATCAAGAGGTGAGCAAGCACCCGCGAGGGCCCCATGCAGGGGCGAGAGAGGTGGCCAGGGCGGGCGTGGGCGCCTTTAGGGGGTCGGGAGCAGACTGGGCAGTGTGGGGAGAAGAACAGAGCACAGCTCTGGGCAGGGGCCCGTGCTGTCCTCGTCCAGCTCCATCTCAGGTGGAGGGGCCGTGTGCCCCCAGGGTCCACGCGGGCACAGGGCCAGGCAGAGGCAGCAGCGCAGAGACTGGGTCGTCTCCAGCAGAGGCTGCACCACGGCGGCACGGGTGCCTGCAGGATTCCTAGGACCTCTAATTTGATCTTTTTTATTCCAATTTGATTTTAATTTCAAATCCCAATTACTTGCTTTTAGGGAAGAAGTTAGGGAGATGTAGCTGGATGCAGGAAGACGGCTTAGGGGAGAGTCAGCGGGGTCAGCTCTGCCTGATGAGGCCCCTTGTTGCGGCCAGCCTTGGAGACGCGGCCCAGCAGCGGCCAGCTGTCACCTCGCGGTAGGGGCTGCCCCAGGAAGGCCACCAGGGGAGGAGGCCAACCCCTCCAGGATGCAAACTCGCCCCTTCACCTGACCAGACTGGGAGTGGCCATCAGGGAGGACCAGGGAAACAGCTGAGGGCATCAAAGCCTGGATGGTCCCCCTCCCTGAGAGGAGACAGAGCACAGACCACAGCCCTGCAGGGACAGACAGGAGTGATCCAGGGGACCTAGTCCGCATGGGGCCGTGGAAAGGATGGAGGGATCAGAGAGCACGGCTCAGACCAAGGAGAAGTCAGCCAGTCCCCAGCTGGCCAGCACTTTTGTTCTAGTCCCTCAGCTGACCGGAACCCCGACCAGGGGGAGGAGGCTGCTGCTGCTGCTGGGTCAGGAGCACCGTCACACTTACTGTCACCAGCAGCAGCTCCTCCTCACCATCACTGCCATCACCACTGCCATCATCATCACCATCACTGTTATCATCCACGTCAGCACCAGCACATCATCACCATCTCCATCACCATCATCCCCATCATCACCATTATCACCACCAACACCATCCTCATTGCCGTTATCATCACCATCATCACCACCATCATCACCTTTAACCCCATCACTATCATCACCATCACTGTTGCCATCATCATCAACTCATGGTCTAAGCAGACTCTCCCTAGGCCTATGCGAATGCTGGCTCCTCCTTCTAGAACTCTCTATACACCTTTGCCTAGAAAAAGATCTACTCAGTCATTAGGTCTGAGCTGTGAGAGCTCTTCATGGAACCTTCCCCCGAGAGCCCCACCCCTGTTCTGGGTGCCCACAGCCCATTTTCCCATCACAGCACTGAGTACACTAGATTGGAGCTGCTTGTCGAGTGTCTGTCCCTCCAACTAGGAGGTCAGCTCCTTGAAAACAGCCTTGCCCATCCTCACGCTCCCCAGCCCTGGGAGAAGGCTCACCCACAGTCCATGCACAGAGAAACACGTCAGCAGCTAACTACCCCAGCGGGCTGTGCCCCAGCTCGGGCCAGGCCGGCTCTGGGCTGGTGTTTTACACTCACGATTTCTAGCTCTTAGAGCACCTCACGGTTCAGGCCTTACCTACAAGGCCACTGCCATTCAGAGACAGTGATTGACTTGCCCACGGTTGCACAGCTCCTTAGAGGCCATACCAGGATTGGGGGCCAAGTGCCCCTCACCGCAGACACCACACTGCAGCTCACTACCCATGGCTCTGTCTCCCAGCTCCCCAGCGGCCTCTTGACTGGGGTCTGGCTTTCCACACCCTTTCCAGCATCACTCGCTACTCCCCAAATCCCACCCTGCACGCCCACAGACTTGCACACGAACAGCCACCGGGGTGGTGGCACTGTCATCAGAGCCAGTACGGCCCCATCCTAGTCTCCTATGGGAAACCCTCAGTCTCGGAGTCCTGCTCACCTGATGTTTGCTCCAGCCTTGCCGCTAACCCAGGTGTGGGACCAACCCGAAGCCTGGCTGAGCGTTCCCAGACCCCCACGCTCTGCTAATTCAGCGTTAACCATGACAGTTCTCTCCAACCTGGTGCACGCAAAACAGTGCTTCAGAAATGGTCTTCCAAGAGTCCTGCGTACCGGGCACCGCCCCTTCTCCCTAAAAGTTAACCAGAAATACTTCTGGATGCACCCTGGTGTTTTGGGCAGGTGACCCATGCATGCCCATCCCTGAGCACCCGCCAGGTCCCAGGGGCCCTGGCTTTCTGAACCCCAAGTTGTGAGGGCTGCACGCACCACACACACATCTGCCCGGGGAGGCCGCCAACCCCCCCAGCACACCTACTTACTTGCGTTCGGCCGACCCCAAGGAAGGCCCAAGGCCTGGCCACCCTGCTTTGCAGAGGCTGCCGATCTGACATCAAGGGCTCCCTCGGGGAGAAACCCTGGTGAACATAATGGATCTGAAGAAACTTCATTATCAGCTCAACCTTTCAGCTGAAGCAGAGCTTACACCAGAGAGCAAGCCTGGCCAGGCAGCAGGTGCCAGAAGCTTGTCTCAGATCTGGGGGAATCGAGGTGGGGGATGGCGTCCTCGAGACCTTGGAATCGAGAAAGGCAGGCGGTGGGAGGGGGTGGCGCTCGTCTGGGGTCACGAAGCAAAGGGACAGGGCCCCTCGAGGCCAACCCAAGTTGTCTTGCAGCGGGGCGCAGGAGACCTCAGCACGGCACCCGCCGAGGGCCGCGGGCCGTCCGAGCCCTGGGGGCAGCGCCGGGAGCCTGGAGCACGCTGGAACCTTCCCCTAGGGCCATCTCGCCTTCTCCCCAAATGTCTGACTGCTGCCGGCTGCCTTGTGAACGGTCCCCGCATGCAGAGCCCAGGAGGGGGAGCTGAGGCTGCCCCCCACCCCACCCAGGAGCTTCCTGTAATCAAGGCTGCATTTCCCTCAGCTGACACAGGAAGGGAAGGTTGCAGCCTAGAGGCACTTAGAGACGAGAATGCTTTCACTAATTTTCAGTGATCCATGTTTGCAAGGCCTCTTGGAGATGAAAGTCCCTCGGTCCCCACTGTGTGATTTCACTAATGGAAGGATAATCTGTACAATGGGCTGAAGACACAGAGGTGAAGCCCTTGGGGTCGGCCTGGGAAGCAGGGAGCCGCTTCCTGTCGAGTGGTGAGTGATGACGTCATCTGGGGAGAGAGGCTTGGCAGAGTCTTCAAGGCCCCCAGGACTCAGGCCTGTTCCGGGCAGGCATCCTGGATGAGGAGCTGCAGGGGGGTGGGGGCGGGGGCGGGGGCGAGGGGACGCTGCAGTGAGAGGCCCCAGCACCTGCCCCTCCCTGCCTGCTGGGCCCAGGACACGGTGCTCAGTAAATGGCCCGCCCCCATCCCACCAGTGCCACCCCCTCTGCTCCTGCCCCACGCCTCAGCACAGAGTCTCCTCCATCCCCACGGGCTGCCTTCCTCCGCCCGCAATTGCCCCGCCCCAGCCCAAAGGTCTCTCATCAGAGACTCCCCGGGCCCCCTTGCCAAGTCAGTGTCCTGCTGTTCCTCCCACAAGGCCCAGCCCTCGGTGCACACATGGTCACGGACTCGTTCTCTCTCCTGCTAAACGGTGGCCTCTGTGGTCTTGTCACTGCTCTATCCCCAGGGGTGCAGCGCCCTACCTGTCCTCCCTGCTGGGGGATGGGAGGGAGGGAGGACGGAGGACGGAGGGAGGAGGGACGGAGGGAAGGGGAGGGGGAGGAGTGG